CAACGTATACTCATACGGCAAAAAAGTCTATTAACCGGCAGTTGACTTCTGACTCCAAACTACCATCACCCCACTGTATGTCAAATTCGATTACTTCCATAGTACTCACCTCACCTTTTTTCTAACTTTGTGTCTGTCTTTTTTACATCTTTGAAACACTCTTCTTTCCCCCCTCCCCCCATCTCGACCTTTTTCGCTTGATGTCCCTTCCCATCTGTGAAGCCTGAAGTCAACTAAGGGGCTAATGATAACTATCAAAACGCCTTCCATTTGATATAAATAAAATAAATACTGTGAATGTTCCACCTAGCATTTGAAATCACTGGCTTTATAATAAGACAGAAATATCAACACCTCAGTACCTCTTATTCAGAAACCGAAATCACCTGACAACATTTTAGTCAGGACAGAGGACGAATTCTTTGCACCAAAACATTATCTTAACAGTGATGGTAAGATTTTTTATTTTTCCCATAACCTATGGCATCGTCGTAATTGAATTAGAACTAAAAGAATTGTCACTCAATGTGAAAGAAGTGGTTTTTAATCACTCAGTGTTTTTTTCTGATATAGTTCACAAAACGAGATCAATTGAAGGGTCTTCTCATCCCTACAAGAAACGCTCTCCTTTCAACCGAATTCAACACTGAAATCAGCCCTCGAACACATCTAATGGCTCTCCTTGCAAATCCTTAATTGAGTTGATAAGTCGGCGACAATTGAGGTTATCACTTTGCACTATAGTGCATTTACTGATGCCAATTCCTGCACCTACTCTACCTAGAATCATACGTATATTTCACTGAAACAGCATTGTCTATATTCTTCTTTATTTTTAATAATAAAAATTTATTTAAAAAGAAATCTATTTATNCTCACCTCACCTTTTTTCTAACTTTGTGTCTGTCTTTTTTACATCTTTGAAACACTCTTCTTTCCCCCCTCCCCCCATCTCGACCTTTTTCGCTTTGATGTCCCTTCCCATCTGTGAAGCCTGAAGTCAACTAAGGGGCTAATGATAACTATCAAAACGCCTTCCATTTGATATAAATAAAATAAATACTGTGAATGTTTCACCTAGCATTTGAAATCACTGGCTTTATAATAAGACAGAAATATCAACACCTAGTCGCTCAAACCGGCATTTTCTAAAGTTTCGAATGCGGGCAAAAGCGCATTAACCAGTGTTTTTCATTGACGAAATAATTATATTTGCATATCTGCCTAACATATTTTTGGAGAATAAATTTTTTAGTGTACTTGAGAATAAGGCTTGACTTTTATAATCGTCGACCAATAATTTCTCTACTATTAATATGAAATCACTATTGCGAAACTTTGTTCACACGCAAGATTTAATTACTATCATTAGTGAATATGTTTGTGTGTGAAACCGAAAAGATTGATTTACCTTCTTCACTAAGGGGAATCAATTTTTGAGGCATGGAATTGGATGGGATGATACTGCAATGTTCATAAGACCCTCCATGATTTGCATTTGCTCCATCTTCAGGATTTCTGTCAGAAACACTTTTTGAGACCCCTCGAATACTTTCATCTTCCACCTGAAGACTTCTCAGTTGCAGCAACCTATCTCTCGGAACTCGAACGTTTTTCCAATGGATTTCAACAACGAGTATCAAACTTATCCATAAGCCAAGTGTGCTAGTAAGAATGCCTATAAGATTATCTAAAATAGTAGAAAAAATTATTTAAACTGTCATTTGCAAAGGTGACTCCTTTGAACCGCAATCTGAATTTTGAACCCTATTGAATTCATCTTCGGAAATTTAAAATTGCCTTTTTTTATTAATTGTTCGAAACTTTGGTCAACTTTCGCACATTTCAGTAGTCAACTATGCATTTGAAGCATTTTCTCTAAGTATGAAATTTTTTTTGCTCCATGCTCTAATCATAATTTATTTGCTTTGAGGAGTGATACTATCTTTAAATCGCAAAGACACAGTTAAAGTTAAACGAATAACAATGTCTGGAATTTTTTCGATTAATCGCAACAAAAATGTGCACAGTTTTTGGGAAAGCATAGTCCATAAAAAGTTACTTACCGAAGTAATTCATTGGATTTAGATCATTTGTAAGACACAGTTGTGCGTCTTCCTCTTCTTTAATTGAAATTGACACGGTAACATATCTGAAAGACGCCGATTGAAATAATATTATAATAATTGTAAATATTATTGATTTGTGGATTATTTTCATCGTTATGAATTAAATTTAGTGATTATTGGCGGTAAATGGGTAAAGTTGAAGAAAGAGGTTATCATAAAGCCTTACTTAAGGGGAAAGTGGAATTATATCGAATCAGTAATATGATCAGAGACTTATGGAATGTTACGAACCCTCAGTTGAATGGATGCAAATGGATTGTGATCTACAAGCCGCAGAGATGATTTGATAACTGATAACTTTTTAAACGCAGATGAGCTAGCTTCGATAAGGAAGAAGCAAATTGAAAATAATATAAAAAGAAATACACATTTTCATAAAAAATAACAAACTACACCATTTATGCATAATGGAATTGTGTTATCTTTATAACAACTATTTTGGTATGGGTTGAACCATGAAGGAGTTTGAACTATCGCCTATTGACTTTGCGTGAGTTGTTTGGTAGTTCTAAAAATACTCATTCGAGTCTTTAGTTATAAGCAGAATATTACGGGAAATATGGTATCTGTTCTGAAGCGCATTCAAGTTATGCAAAATGTAGCAACACTTTTTGCCGTTAAGCTGACGGGCAAAATCAAGAAGATATTGCCTTACAAGGCTTAAACCTAAATTGGCTACGTCAAGGTTCAATGCTCTCGACACTTCACGAATGCCAACAACATGAAAAGGCTCCAACGTTCTAAAATCACCTCTTCTTAATTATTATGTGTATTGGAATTCTGTGCAAACGTTTTTATGGAATTATTTCCAATTTAACAATCTCAAATTAATTTAATTTATACTTTTCTCTATACGTTTTTCCTTTACCGTTTTGCTCTATGTTATCATTTAATGATCTTTGGTGGTGCATATTTCATTTAATGTGGAAAAATGTTCAATGCGATGCAATTGTCCTCCATTTTGGCGAAGGAGCCTTCATGAATTCCGTTTTCATTTCATTGAGGTTTGGGTAACAATATAGGTAAATCAATTTATTATTTTTAATTCTAGCTAAATGATAATCGCGAATTTGAAGCAAGTAATTAACATCAAAGATAACTTGAAATTCTTTCCTTTGATTTCGTAAAGTCGATTTGAAAAATCTCATGGGGAATAAACTTTGCGCATGAAGAAATTTTCAAGTTCAAAGCGTATTTTAACCAAAGAGAAAAATTCATAGATGCTTTTGAATAATTTTGCGGCAATGATTGGCATAATTTAATGACGAAAGTTCTTAATTTTTCTAAATTCTTTTGTCCTTCATCTTGATTAAGATAGAGTGACCCATAATTAAATCGAAATATCCAAAATGACACATAATGCTTTGATTGTTGAATTATTTATAACACTTGTTTCACTTATGCATATATATATATATATCTATGCCACTATGCTTAATGATGTCAGTATGATATTTGGTAATGAAATAACTCACCTTGTTGTAACAAAAGGCAAATTATGCCTAGAAGATTGAGAAAGTGCGAAGTGGGCCCGTGTTTCCCGATTTTCAGCGGTTAATGAATGGAGACGCGAGTTGAGACGGTCAATCAGAGTGATTACTGATGAAGACCTCTCAATGAGCAGTGCTGTTCTCACTCTGTATATCTCCTGAACCCGTCTGCAAATCGTTGAATTCCCTGTTGCTAAGAGCTCATTTGCTGCGAGTGGTTGGAAAACTTCTCTGCTTGAATGTGAAATGGTGGGTGACATCGAGGCTGAGGAGATTTCTACACCTTGACGCTCTGAAGTTATACCTCGAGGCGGGTATATTTCTAACAACTAAAGTGTAATAGAATAAACATATGCTCGCTTTTTAACAAAGTTAATGCAAGAAATACCCTTACTACAACAAATGAACTGGTTTGGGCGCAAAATATTCAATACGTCTTTAACGGCAGACACAAACATTTGTAGAAATAATAAGACACTGCTTGAACTTTCTATAATTATATTTTGTATTATTTGATATATCATACCACATAATGCCCACATCGTATAATTAATAAGCTGGACCAATGGGAATTAATGCTTTCGGCTTCAGTAAAAGATATAGCCAAATCAAGTACGTTTTGAATTATCAAAAGAAATTAGACCTATGATTAAGTTAGAATAGGATTTCTTATACAATTTTTCATGATGATTTGATAACAACAAAATATTGATCAATAAAGAACGAAGCATCTTTTTGTTTATTAGCCAATAAATAATGTGTAAATCAATTTAACGTAACGTGAAGTGAATATATTGCCACTTATCATTTGAAAAAAACTTAATAAATAGGTATTCTTCAGTTGTTTCCAAATTTCGTTAAAGCGTTTAGTCAAAAAATCTGTTTTCATAAATAGAAATAATCTCCCTTTATATCTCAATTTCGCTTTTTGTGCAAATGATCATTTATGAAAGTATAAGAAAATTAAGGGAATAAGTATATTTCCATTTGAACAATGTGAATGGATGTGAAATATCTGGGACATTCCTAAAAATTAACATATATTTGACTTATGGCTATCTTTCCTTAATTGAATAGAGCGACCTAACTACACTTATATAACTATATATATATATATATATGTGTGTGTCAAGGTACTGACGTGGCAAATGAGCTTCAAAAAGAATGCAGTGATTGCTGAATTAACTTATCAATTAATTTTTTTGAAATTCCTTTAATTGTGATATTTCACTTCTTTATTTTTACACTGGTGGAAAATTTCCTTTTTGGGCCTCTAAAACGGATCTACTATTAATCCTCAGGGTGTTGGTTGGAAAATTGTTGCATTTACTAAAATCAGTGCTCCTTTTTGGTAGAAAACTTTAAGTGGAATTTGAATTGTATATGGTAAGCTCAGGATTCGCTTAAAAATTCCTATTTTGAATGATTATTTTTATTATTTAAATCCTTATTCAATTTTACGGAAATTATAAAAACACTGCCCGTAAGTTTTTGGGCGTAATTAAATAGAATTAGCTTTTTATGCATTTAATATGGAATTTATTTTTTGCGTAAAAGAACTCGGTTTATAAAAAATCTCTACTCATTTTCTCGAGGAATATAGATTTCATTCGACTTCTAAAGTATCTGTTATGAATTAGGCACTAGAATTTTTTATAAAGAAAAAAATGTTACACTAATTGCCATTTCCGTCATTTAGGTTAAAATTAGTGAAGCATTGCCATGGTTGATACACCGATTATGGGTACATTCTAGTCCAATCGCATAAAGTTCTGAATAAGAAAAAAGTTCTGATTTTCATTAGCCAATTATTAGAGTTAAACTTGAGTGGCAGGTGACAACTGCCAGATTTGAATTTTGGAACTTGAATCCGGTTACCGCCCATTAGCTGAAAATTATGCAGCATATATGCACCAGTGGATTTGTTTACCAGATTTCAGTTGCTTTACCTCAATAAAAATATTATAAGGCTGCTACTTTTAAAATAAATTGATGTATCACAATCACTTAACTGAGGAACCCATGATGATATATTACTCTATCTTGGAGAAGGTTTTACAACACTAATTTCGGGTAGAGAAGGAACACTAAGAAGTCACTGGTGGAAGAACTCGAAGTCTTTCTAATTTCATTTTAACTTGGACTTGACCAATGCTATTGGCCATTCTACTCACTAGACATCTAACTATGAAATTTTTAATTTTAAAAATACATCATTAATACACATACTTCCAAAACTTACCTCCTTTTATCATCTCATCCCTTTTTGAACTTTAAGTCTTGATATCAACAACCACTTCCACGCCAGATGGTCTATTCGACATCTCGTATAGTTCATTGGGTAAACTATTGCTTACTCCTCTTTCGGCTTACAGCCTCTGTCCACAAAGAGTTGAATTATACTTACCTCCAGACTTTGATAAATATTTGTTGACTCAATAATCTCCATACCGGAAAATTAATAATCTGAATGTGCTCAATAAATTTATTCGGAAGTTTAGATACGCATAAGTTGCCTGATGGTTAAATTTCGTTTTCTTCTTCGAATTCCAATTATTTCTGCTATTGTTGTATTGAGTTGTTATTTTTTTCTACAGAAAAATTGATAAAAAAGCTATTAATATTTTCTTTTATTCATTTTATTTGCTTTGTGTCACGCACTGTCAAAAAACAAACAGCAAGCACTATTTGCTTCAACCTGCATGACAGATTCCCACATATAGAATTATCATTTTGATGATATTGAGCCTATTATAATTTTTGTTTTATTTATAGAATTTACTAATACTTGATTTGTTGCAGATTTGCGCAAACAAAGTTTAAATATAACTCTGATTGCGTGAACAAAGAAATCTAATCGTGTATAAAATTTTTCAAGTGTTCTATTAACTAACGCTCGCAAACATTAGAGATTGGACAATAATTCGATATTTCTAAGTTATCCATTTGAATACAGTTAAGTCACATCTCCTCAATTTTCTTCGTTTATTATTTACTATAACATGACAAATTCAATTTAGAATCATCAACAAATTTTATCAAATTTTTAAGTTACGCAGAGTGCTATTCCGCTTTTCCAAGTTCTCATAGAATCCTTAATTTAAGCTAAATTGAGACTATTTACAGTTTTAATGAAATCTTTGATCCAAGTGTAGTAATAAAGTAGATGTTATCAGAAGTAACATAACATAACCCTTTCTCTAAAAAAGGACTAACTTGGCTATTTTTAACGGATATTTCGGCTGCCACAATTGCTCATTTTCGTTACGTTGAGTCACGAGTAATAAATGACCGTTTTGTCTTTCTTCCGAGGTAATTCAGTTTATAGAAATGCAAGATTTATTAGTACCATTTAAGGCAGAATAGGATCATTTTCCCCCATGCATCTCACACTTTCTGATGCTTTGGTAAGTCGCCTTCCATAGGGCTTTAGCAAATTAAAATAGGATTTCATATTTGTTTGTTTATTTACTTTATTATATGTAGATATGATATTATTTTAAGAATTAAGTTTAATTAATAATTTTATGCAAATAAATTATTTTCTCTCCTCAGATTGAAGAAAACCCAAGCAGAAATAAAGTTAATTGCCTTCTTTACGCTTGGAGTGGTCTAATTATGCTCACAAACTTTATCTCCTTTCTTTATTCAATGAGATTGCAGCTGCCCGAGTAGTTTTTCTCAGTCAACGGTCTCTAATAATGCTGCAAAGGAGTATATTTTTATTTGATTTTATTATTTATTTCATAGTCAAATATTAAGTTGATATTTTTTAGCATGGAGAAAATATGTCATAAAATGGCGATCGATGTGGTTTTAAAACTCTGGTCTCTGTGTTTGAATCCTGGTTGTGCAGTGAGTGAGAAATGATTACTCTTCCCCTACCATCAGATTTGTCCCATTTACCACCCTGAATAGGGATAACTAGTATATAAAAGTGAAATATACTCTTACAAGGAAGAATGTACTCACAGATCTGTTTTCTGTAGATTGGAAAGGTTGCTTAATTGTTGCGTTCATGGTTACTAGGCCATTTTAAGAAGAATAAATAACGAAAGCGTGAATTTTGTTTGAATTTCCTTTTTTGTTTTAAAATATAAAATAATATGAAATATGAAAGTAAACACCAATGACGATTCAGAATATCCACGTTTTCAGTTAAACTAAAAGATACACATAAACGCCCTATCATGCCTCATGAAATTAGTATGATTCAGATTGGGCACAATTTTATCAAATGTTTTATACTTAGGTCAGGCATGTTCATTTAATGTAATATATCCCGATTTGGGAAATAATTTTAATCATGCTTAATGCAGGCTGCATAAAATTATATAATCCACAAAATAAGAGAGCGATTTTTTAACAACAGTTAATTTTATGGCGTTTTGCCTTTAGCCCCATGATTATCTCCTAAATAAATTGTAGGGCAAAAATATGCACACTTCGGAGATTTTATGGTAAATTTACAAAAATAGTAGATTTTGAATCATTTCTTTGACGTGAACTAAATAAGATCTACTTTGGCAATCGCAAAAGGAATGAGATATGAAACCAGTTTAAATATATGCCAATTTTTTTCAATTAAAGATAACAATTTTCTCCTCATCTTGAATTTACATTGCATAATTAAATTCTCTAATGCTAATTGTTGCATACCTTTGACTGCACAAAATAATAGAATGAGGAAAAATAAAAATTTCATGCCAACTGAATGCGATCTGCATTCAATTTTTACTAAATTGAATCTTTATCAGCGAATTCACTCCACCTGCTTTTGCATAAAGTTTTGTGCTTTTGTGGGACGCTAATACACAAAATTTCACTTCCTTGAAGATAAAAAACAAAGGTAAACAATTGAATAAAAATACGGTATCAGACATAATCTGCCTTTACAAAGCAAAATGTAGGCATTCATTTTAGAGCTAATGATATTTTTCATTAAGCTAAAACAACAATGAATTTAGCATCACCAATTTCTGTTAAATACCTCTCATTTAATAGCATTCCGCGTCCATCAAATGTAATAAAAGGCCAGCGTCTTTTCTGATTATCAGAAGAAGTGGCTAAAGGGTGTGCACTTTTAGACCACACTTAGAAGTAAAAAGAAGGCGATTTGACTTAGCAAACGTCGCAACAAACGCACTTATATATATTTCTATTCCAGTTCATTTTAATGGTGGCGCTTTGATGTGCTTCACAATCGAAATGCATTTCTAAATGTGCATAAAAAGTGGCGCGATAGTGTCGAATCTAAGTCTTTCCCAAAGTCTCATCTAACACTTAAAATGCAATAAAATGGGACTTGAAGTGAAATAGGGATTCGAAATTAGTTCTTTTGCAAATATTTATGTGAATCAAAGGTAATAAAACTCTTGAGATCGTATATATTAAATAGGGGGTGATTAATAATCGCTAAAATTTATGCATAATAAGTAAAATTTAAAGAAAATAAAATTATAAAAATTCAGTTCATAAGGACAAATATTGGTTGTTTTTTCATATATCGTCATATATTTTTTTGATATCAACGCACAGCGAGTCTACTTCTTGATAAGAGGTAAACATGCAATTTCTGCGCTTATTAAGGTTTTTGCTTCAAATTAATTTATTCCGGAATAGCAATTTGACCACCAACTCTTCACGCAATCCTTTGATGTTCCTCCAAATCTTAAATCTCCTCAAGAAGTAGAGGCATTCATTAGTGAGTCGGTGAAAAAGCTTCATCATCACTGAAGAGTTAAACTCGTTTAAGATGAATGTTTTCAGACAGAAAAATTACCAATCAACTGGATCCAAAATATGGTTAGTTGAAATAAAAGTAGCCAAAACTTGCCAAAACCTGGATTTATGTATTTTAGGGTCCTTAATTTCAATATTTTGCGTCTATTTTGAAACCATTAATATTATAGGTGCTAATATGTTAATAATGTAGGAACATTTCTACTTTTCATTAATTAAAATTGTTTTTAATCATACTATACCCGTATAATTAAATTACCCGAAGGTAACGAAGGAGAAAAAAACATTTTTACTCCATTACTAAACATACTTGTTTTTTGGTATATTTTTCCTAATTAATTTAAAATTTATAATTAGATTATTTGAAACCTATTTATTTTTTTCGAATATCATCAAAATATAATGTTAATGCTTTTTAATTTTAGTCTCAACACATGTATTTTCATCAAAATTTTTGTCTTGTCTATTCGATTAAATGAGAAAGCATTTCCGTTGTCACATTTTTCCAATCTTTGATTAATTTCATTGAGATAGTAAAAACTTTTGAGGTACTACATTTTTCAAACGTTTTTTTTAAAAATAGGTACTATGAAGATAACTTCGAAAAACTGATAGAATACGTCTTTTTTGACAGACATCATACACGGCTTTGGACAGAAATGAAGAGCACAAGAAAATGTGTACCCTGAATTGAATAAAAATTATGTCTTTAAATAAGAAGTCGCTATTGTTTTGTATTTAAAATATTATGACCCTAGCGATATCTATATATTGCAAACAATGAAAGAAACATTGATTCTCAATTAAATCGACGTTATTCATTGCCATTGTGGAATTTAATTTGTTATTCAACCGTAAATTCTTGGATTAAATTAAAAGAAATGTGCAATAAATTGGTGAAAATCTTTATCAAAACACCTCTCTAACGCTATCAAGATTGTTGTTATTCAACCTTAAAAATGAGTGCTTTTATCTTGTTACAAATTTTCAGTTTTGGAAGATAAAATTAATGGTTTAATTGTGCTTAATACCTCTTAACAGCATCATATATTTAGTTTCCTGAAGTGCATTACATTCAGTAACTTTCAAAACGTTTTTTTTTAAAAAAGGAAAAAAGGAAATATCAAAAGTATCAGTCAATGAGAAAATACACGGCCTTCTCTAATTTATTCATTATTTAATTATTAGCTATCTATTGATTACCATATCTTAATTCTAAAAACCAAGTTCGTAGTCAATTTTCCACGGAAAGGTTTTAACATCAATTCGACTTAAATTCCATGCTGAATAGGCCAAAGAAAGAATAATTAGCCTATTGCTTTTCAATCTTATTCTCTCTCTCAGACATTTGATATGACCCCTTAAATAGGTAAGCTTCACCTAAAATAATGTAACCCATAATATTTTCTTAACTCCATGACAATATAAGTCCAAGACCAGCCTCACCATCTTTTTAACATACTTAATAATGTAAATGTAGGGGTGCGTGATAGACTTACCTCCACGTGGTGCACCCTGGCCAACGTATACTCATACGGCAAAAAAGTCTATTAACTGGCGGTTGACTTCTGTCGCAGTACTCATCCTACCTTTTCTCTGCCTTCATGTCTGTCTCTTTACATCTTTAAATCACTCTTCTGTTTCCCACCCCTCGATTTTCTGTTACTTTGATGTTCCTCCCCCCTGTGAAGTCCGAAGTCAGCTAAAGGGCTAATGATAAATATCAAAACGCCTGCCATTTGAAATAAATAAATAAATAAATAATGTAAATGATTTTCATCGCATATCCTGCCTGAATGATAATGTGACAAAGTGAAACCAAGTACCAAATCAAATATGGTGATCATTTCATGTGTCATTGACTTAATGATTCACATAGGGATCGAACTTACGTTGCGAATAAGTTCCCGAAGATGTGACTTCAGTCTTGTGCCAATGTTCTGTGCGGCAAAAAAGCATTCAACTAGACTAAGTTCCACGTCAGCTCCTGCGGATGTATTTGTCAAGACAGTATTATCCATCACAAGTCCTGCAGTAGTAGTCGAGGCTGCATCAAACCATAATTCTTGAGCTTCAAGAAGATCTACAAGAAGTTTCGATGCTGTATTGTGGAGATCAGCACCGCAACCCCTCTGTTGGGGCACTATGGCTGTCTCAACCTTAAGCGCGTGGGTCGCCTGTCGCATAAAATCGTTGATAAATCCCACGGCAACACGAATACTTGTCAGTTGACTCGCAAGATGAACCACTTCATCAAACGCGGAACGATTCATCGCACGTAGAAAGGCGCGTTGTTGAATCAAACGGCTCAGTGTATCCTTCAAGGGTAAGTAAATGGTTCATGTAATGTAAATTTCATAGTTGCAAAGATTTTATTTGTTCCTTTGATGGTTTCTAATCATTGTAGAGAAGCTGCATAGAGTGAAAGATTCAACATTGGCGCAATGTGTGGTTGTATACGACGGCAGTTTTCGTGAATCATGACTAAAATGTCTTGACTCAGGAACTAATCGAAATATGCAGTAGAATAGTGACGTAACTACATTTGTTAGGTTCGTGGATTACTAGGAAGGTATTAAAGGAGCACTATGTCTAAAATTATCCAGTACTTATTGTTTCAACTGGAAAACCTTCCATTTACTGAACTGAATTATTAAGAACTTATTTTCTATTTAAAGAAAGTTGGTGGGAAAAAGTATGAAGGATAATTTTAATGGATGAATAAATTAATGAAATATTATTACCCTAAGAGTTTTAATGAACAAATGAGCCATTGTTCGTACTTTGGCTCCACCCTATAAAAGTCTTGAATTAGAATTGTAACTTATAGATAATGAGGTCACTGATTAGGATGGAATAAGTAATATGCTTTTTAAAATTTTATTAACAAACCAATTTTTAATTTGATTAATTCAATTTAAATATCGTCGGGGGAGGGAGTGAATTTGGAAATATGGGGAAATTAAATCGGTAATATATTTAATGCAACTTAAAGTTCCAAACAGAGGGCGTTGAAACAACCGATTGCCTGCTATTTAAATACTTGGCAGAGATCTGAAATTTTTCGTAGCTTACTGTATTGATCCTTTTCTATCATTAAAAGAGGTAAAGGTGGGTTTGTCTTAATAGATGCCTTTGAATAACTTTCGTCATCTGTCCTATAATGGATTGTGTTTATGAAGTCGAATTGACTGACAGGTGCATTTCAGGAAGGAAATATTTTTAAATGGGCCTGAATAGCCTGACTCAATGGCGGTTATGCGTAGATATTGTTGAAATAGGAATGGATGCAAGCACCATGTCCAATTAGCATTGTTTAAAATATTCCCATGGACATATATTTAGTTAAAGGAAAGGTAAAAAACTGAGCAGAGATCCACTGGTTGTTCATCACTTTCTTTGGCCTATTATTCAACACCTTTTTTCAACGTGTTTACTCTTCCAACATTTGCACCAAGGCACTATAAACTACCTTGGCGTAATTAGCAAATTATAGCTTGTCAAAGAATATCCTTTAAATAATAAATGCTCATATTTGGCCGGTCATCGTTTTGGTAAATGTGATGTCACGCCATTAGGCCCATTAAAGTCGCCTAACCTACAATAGAGGATCTCTAACCAGGGCTGTTTGAAGTAGTTGGTATAGACGTTATTATTGGTTAACTACGAAAAATACTTATCAATAAATTTCCCATTTCGCGTATATTTACGTCGAGGACGACGAATATTTTAATCGCCTCGTTCTAATAATATCACAATCCGTAATTAAACATTTATGAATTCACCAAAGAGTTATATCACTGTAAATATATAAACTAAATGGTATCTTCTCATTACTTCACCGTCCGCAAAAATGGCGGAAAATTTAGAATCTAATTTAAGCAAATAAAAGTCGAATTTTCAGAATGAACAACTTTTAAGGAGATTTGTTTCAATTTCTAATTAATAAATCAGCATTATTAAGTCCATAGGGAGGAATGCTTGTATAGTTTTATGTACGCGAGGGTATAAACCTAAGTACTCTTGAAAACACAAAGGCAATTACTCTTAATTTTTATTGTTGCTCTCACGAATTAATTACCTTTCTTTAGCCTTTAGAAAACTGTTTGTAGTACGAGCATGTTCGTAATCACACTTTCGAAAATTCAAGCACATTGCTTGAGCGGCTCGAGTGATGAACTGGTCAATAAATTGATATACGATACATCCAGTACTCGAGATACTTTTGTATGACCCTGAGTCACCTTGTCTTATTGGCCACTCATTGTCTGGATTAATAGATGTCGGCCGTGTCCATGATCAGTCTCTGCCCTGACTCAGAAAAATTGGTCAAATTAACGTCAAGATCAATTTGGGCTAAATCAGGGTTCCCTTAAAGGTAATGACAAGGTATAATGATCATTAACCCATGCATCAAGTGATATTTTGATTAAGGAAGAACATTCTTTACTTCTAGGGAGTAATTTGAGAGGAGCCAACACAATCTCAGCTTGTCATTTCCTTTCAGAGTTCAATCATAATTTGTATTTCAAATAAAAAATTCATAAAGGTAATACTTTTGCTGCCGCCTGTTCTGGCAGAGTGGATGCAGTCATGCTTTGTGATTTAATCCAAGCGAGGCCAAACAAGATTTTTAAAAAAATATATGTTCAAGAACTAATCTTAACATTACATTACGCTTAACTTTCTCTTGATTAGTTGATAAAGTTTCCTACAAGTTAATTTTTAATATGCAAAAAAATGAAACCCTGTTGCGTTCGAGCAGTATGTACTGCGTGAAGTTAATTAAATATGCTGCGATTTAAAATTTATTCGATTTGAGTGAAAACTCATTAAATCTTGAAAATTTAATATTTCGTGTAGCGTGAATTTTTTATTTTGTATATTTAAATACTATTTATTTTACTATTAATTGATTAATCAAAAGCAAAAAATCACAGATACGAGCAACTCTAAGTGGTATAAAAATTCCAATTATCGCATTTTTGGTGTAAAGTCACTTATATTTTTAAGATTTCAGAAGAATTGAAATGACCATTGGTACTTCCCATATTTTGAGATCTTCATTGTTTCTGATATTTGAGCACTTTCTCATCAATAGAGAGAACATTCGATTCTGTAAGCGCTTTCTATTAATCAATCTTACCATGCTTATACTGGGGTGTGCGATAGACTTACCTCCACGTGGTACACCCTGGGCAACGTATACTCATGCGGCAAAAAAGTCTATTAACAGGCAGTTGACTTCTCACTTCAAGCTACCATCACCCCACTGTATGCCATATTCTACCACTTCCACAGTAATCATCTTACCTTTTCTCTGCCTCTGTGTCTGTCTCTTTTACAACTGTAAACCACTCTTCTTTCCCCACCCACCGACTTTCTGTTACTTTGGCGTTCCTTCCCTCTGTGAAGCCCGAAGTCAGCTAAAGGGCTAATGATAACTATCAAAACGCCTGCCATTTGAAATAAATAAATAAATACCATGATTATATTTGTAAAACAAAATCAAGTTCTACTGATTGTGTATTAGCTTTAATTCAAATTTGTCATCAGCCATCCAATGGCACAGCTAAAGATTGCTGAAAAGTTATGTTCCCTCACTGCAGATAAACAGCTAAGATATTCCCTCATAAATCTGTCCATTATTACAGCGATACACA